GAGCCCAGCCCGGCATGAGTGGTGGTGACAGGGCCTCGTGCGTTTGGCCTTAAAATCGGCTTTTTTTGGAGGAATGGGCGTCAGCTGATACGACAGGTAGTGCCTCATCCATGCGAGAGGTGCCATATTTCATCTGCGGTTTTGTAAAACTTTCTTCCTTCGTATTTTCCCTTATTTCATCAAATCACTCGGTCCACCTTAATTATTTGGAAGCATTTAATTGCATAAGCTCCTCAAATCAGTTCCCTGAGTGGCCGAATTAGTCTGGCTGGCCAGATGCCCTTTTTTCTTTTTGCTGTTGTAGGGTCGCAGAATCATTTAGGTTGGGAAAGACCTTTAAGATCATCCAGTCCAGCCATTAACCCAACGCTGCCAAGTCCACTGCTTGCTGCTTTGCTGGTATCTTTGTGACTTAATTCGTGGTGAGGTGAAGTTGTAAGATGATGTGAAAAGCGTTTACTTTTGAAGGCGAGGAGTGCTGGTGACTGGACAGCCCGCTGTGTCGGGCAAATTCCCGCTGTGAGGTTCAGTTAGGCACTACAAAACCGCTTTTCCTCCGAGCACTTAGGAGTTTGCCCTTCCTTTCTATTTCCACCATTTCTTTCATGCCACCGTGCCTCTGGATATGGCATCTGGTCAGCAGAAGAAAACGGCCCCAGAGCTGAATGGCTCTTTGCGCTGTAGAAGTCTACGAGGCCGCGGGTGGCATTAACTGGCGTTGGCCGTAGCATGTGACGTCTGTGACTTCATCATTTTAGGCGTTTAAAGATACTGGCAAAGCACCTGTGGAACAAGAGGTAGCGATCCATCGCATTAGAATTACGTTGACGAGTCGCAATGTCAAATCACTTGAGAAGGGTGAGTGGTGCTTTATTTTTCCTTTAACTGGGGTACTTGTTAAGTAGCGAATGACGTGTGTAATGGTTTGTAAAACAGAGTGTATTGAAGCCAGCTGTAATGAACGATGGCAGCGTTTGCCTCTGTGGGACCTGGCCGACAAAGTCAGCCCAAAGCGCTTCCTACGCTGACGAGTGGATTGTGCTTTAGGTTTTAATGGAAGGTGGTGTTTGGGGTTTGTCGTCACGCTGAACATTTCATGTCTTAATGACCGACGTAAGAGAGCGCAGCTCCTTCCCTTCAGTTCCTGTGGGGGTTTTAATTGTCGCTTACTTGAATGTGTAAGAATTGAAAGGTACCGGTTTCTTGGTTGGCGTTGCGTCACTCTTTGTTTTTAAGAGTTTAGTTTAGAACTTTAATGTTAAGAAATTATTTAATCTTGTTGAGGAACCAGCTTTGCCAGTGTTTTAGTCACGTAATGTAAATGCTGTAGGATCACTGTTCGGTGCAGGACCTTCATGCTGATAGCACCCTACATACAACTTAAACTTGTAGTAATGGCTTTTGCTGCTGCTGTTGTAACATGATGTAACGCTTCCACTTCTTGTCGTTGGCTGTGAGGACAACCTGTGAAATGAACAGCAATGATCACTTCATACGCTATTCTGAGCCAACATCTGGTTTGAAAGCTTCACTGAACAAGCAAAAAAAATGCTCATAAACTTGAGCTATTTTGTATTTTTTTGTTTCAGTCTGTGCTGACTTGATCAGAGGTGCTAAGGAAAAAAACCTGAAGGTGAAAGGACCTGTTCGAATGCCCACCAAGGTACTTAACGTCTTAAAAGTTCGGTTTTTTTCTGCAAATGTGCACTTAAGACATCTTTAAAAAAAAAAGTTGAGGTGAAAAGCAGTACTGCTAAATTGAAGGTGACCCAGGGTAAACAGATAGTGACTTCATAGTGCTTTGACACTTTGGGCAACTTCAGTGCAAAACACATTGAACATGGGAGGGGCTTTGCTGTCCTTCAATCGATTCTAATAGTGATTTTTTTTTTTTTAAACTAAATTGAATGTAGTGCAGGAGTGTTAACATCAGTAGAACATAACTTCAGAAGTAACCTTCCGGTGACGCAGCTACCACACAGTATTTTTAGGTGGATGGATTTGATTGTAGATGAGCCTTGTGTACGCATCACCCGAATACCCCGTGTTTCTGATTTTTCTTCAGACTCTGCGAATCACTACCAGGAAGACGCCTTGTGGGGAAGGTTCCAAGACCTGGGATCGTTTCCAAATGCGTATCCACAAGCGGCTCATTGACTTACACAGCCCGTCCGAGATCGTGAAGCAGATCACTTCCATCAGCATTGAACCGGGTGTCGAAGTGGAAGTTACTATCGCCGATGCCTAAACGATGGGCGTCGTTGAATAAAGTTTGATTCGCAAATTTTCATTGCTGTTTGGTTTTGTGTGTGCCAAGAGTCTTGGGTAGCCCTTTGGTGATTTTCGTGAAGAAGGACAACAGAGATCGTACTCAGAATGCTGTGTGTCAGGATTGTACGATATTCGAGGAAGAATATGCCGTTTGTAAACATCAGGAAGATGAAACTTGTGCATTGTGGGAGGTTGGGGACTATATGGACGTGCAGCACTTAAATTATTAAAAATATATTTTCCGTATAGGATTTAACTTTGGCTGAAATCTTAGTCCATGCGCAGACAAGCATTAAAATTGATGTTTAGGTAAATTACCAAATTTTCAATTCTTAGTTTTTGCAAGGCTGAAGTGACACTTAGCTTGCTTGGCTTTTTTTTTCCCTCCCATGCTTTTCACAGTCAATGGATCCTGAGGATGTTAGTTAACGAAACTTCATGGTCGGTGGTGAATACATTGAATTTAGCAAGTTCTTTCTTCAGCCTTGCTTGTAAAATCACGAAACTAAGCTGTGGAACTCTCTAGTTGTCTTTCGAGGTTTAGATTTCCATAGATTTGAATATTAAAGGTGGTAGAAAAATAAGCTTCATATGTAAAGCAGTAACAGCCGTTTCCATTGCTGCTACTTAGGCCTCTCAAGTTCAGTGGGTGTTTTTCTGTCTCTGCAAACTAATCCTTACAGTAACTATGATTGATTCCTGAACCAACAAGACAAAGCCCCAAGTTGAATGAAAGAACACGGTCTCATTTCATCCATTTAAGATTGGGCTGCAGCTTCTACTTCAAGCATGGGAGAGAACTTGAATTCTAATTAAGCAGAAGTGTGGAGCTTGAGGTCCCATTTACATTTGCTAAGACCTAAAACTGGCCAAAGCTCGAGCTTTCTTAGTCAAGGGATTCAAGAGTCCTTCATCTGCCCACTTAGTTTCATGAAATGTAAAGCCTCAGAAGGATTCCATCCCTCTAGTTAGCAGTCTCAAGAGCTTTGGTAGAAGGCAGAGGTGAGAAACTTGGATTTACATGCATGGATGGTGACAAGCCTGCTTCCTTGGGAAAGAGCTTGAAGAACTGAGCAGAAAAAACCCCCCAAACCTGTGTCTTCCTAAATGTCAGTTTCTGGTGATAGGTTAGAAATATGAGCTGCCTAATGAATACTTATAGCCTTAGTTTTAAAATTACTTGTATTTTATGGGCTGGTCTGAAAAGCATGGTGAGAACTTGGCTTTGGGACACCAGGCAGATTAAAAGGGGATAAATGGGTGAACCACAGACCAGAAGTATTGCTGGCTGACCTTTGTGTACGATTAGCTGTTAACTTTCACCCAGGTAGTCTTCACTTCTGACTGAAAGCCCTTGGAGGGATCTGGGGAGGGCTGGCTGGCTTTCACATCATTTCTGTCTTCAGGCTTCCCTCTTGGTCAAACCTTGTCATGATGAAACAGGTTTTTGTCGGCTTGACTGACACGGTGCCCCTTGAACCTGCCTAGATGAAGCCCCATCTGTGTTCTTTGAGCAGCTGTGGCTCTTTAAAGACAAGTTTTCTGTGGTCTTTTGGGAGGGTATCTTTTCACCTGCTTCCAACTTAAGGACAAACACAACTTTACCTCTGCCTCTGGGTTTTGTACGATGCAGGAACAAAACTCTCTGGATAGGCAGGCTCGTATGTGAAGGCTTCCCCTCAGGAAAGCAGGTTATTTGCTTGTCGAAGGCGACGGACCGTCGGCTCCTCAGTCCCTCCCTCAGGGGGTTCAG